GTAAAAACACACTAGAAAACTAATTATATATTTGCAGAAGGAGACACGTGGTGTAAATTTTAGCCAGAGCCATTCTCTGATCCTCTTCATCTTTATGAACGCCTGTGCTGGCACTTTTAAGGCATCACAAGCATGTAGTTGAGTGGAGGGCTAGAGAAAAGAAGCTAGCCTTATGTTGATTTAAAGCAAATGTGGAATTAAGCAAGGTGAGGAAAATTAAAGCTTTCCCCTCTGAATGTGAGCAGGTATCTATATTTCCATGTGGTTACAGATTGATTTAGCTCCGCCAGTTTAACGTACAGCTCTGTTGAAAGGGGTAGTAATCTTCATCCCACCAAACGCAGGTCTGTGATTCTATTTCTTTGTCCAAGTTAAAATGGGTTTAACCTCATTGTGAGCTAACCTATAAAAATATTAAAAGGTTCTTCTGCTTTTTTTTAAACTTTATTTTGGGGGTGAGTGGTAGGTTTGCATGGGGAATGTTGAGGGTTATGGGTAGGGTTAGTTTCTGTTGGTTTCACTTTCAGAACTGTCTTACACATTTGGAGCACATTCCATAGGATATTACAGAAATGAAAAAAATACATTCGTTCAAAAAGAGATTGTAAGAAACAGATACTCACTTCATACCCTTAACAAATTATTTCACCTATACAGACCAAGGTACCTACATTACAAAGAGTTTTTTAAAATTAAAAAGAAAAAAAAAAAGAAAAAAAATCCATAGCTTAAAGATTGGTCTAGTTGGATCAGTTGTCTCTAAAGGCAGCTTGCAGCATCTCTGTAGGAAGGAAATAAGAAACTTATTATGTAAAGCCTCCCAGATTTTGACAGCCATTGAGTTGGTTGCATCTGGATCATCGTCTTTAAAACATATCTATTAATTTGTCTAAATCCCTTCTTGAATACATTTATATTTTCAGTCTCTGTAACATTGTGCAGTAATTGTTCCATAATTTAGTTACACACAGGGTGAAAGTGTACATTCTTTTGTTTTGTTTTAAGCCTGCTGACTGCTTATTTCTTCGAACTGCTCTTTGTTCATAGTTTATGAGATAGAGAATGATTATTCACACTTTTTTCACAGTATTGCTGATTTTAGAGGTCTTTCTGATATTCCTCTTTCATTTATCTCTCTTCCAAGCTGAAGGTCTCTGAGATGCGTATCTATTTTCCAAACAAAATGCGTCTGATTTTATCATTGTTACTGTTTTCTAGTTCTTCTATATCCTTCTTGTTGTCCATACTTGAAGTTGTAGGAGGTTCACGGAATTTAGTTGGATTTTAGTAGGAATTTGGTTGATGATGTCTCCTCTTTTATTTCTCCTAATAATTTTATTATTCCTTCCATTATGATTACCTTTTAGACTGTTCATAAGTATTGGAGAGTTCTATAGTGAAGGGCAAGATACTTCTCTAAGGGACAGACTGTAAGAGATTAGAAGCCATCACTGAGTTTCAGCCAGAGATAAGGCATATTGGGTAATACTTATCTGTAGAAGTTGCTGTCATGAGGAACTCAAATCTTACTACTCTTAAAGCAGATTTACTTAGAACAGATGACATTGACTGGAAAGATGAAAGCAAAAGGCATGAATAAAGTCTAGTAAACTAAAGTCCATTCTGCGTTTAAAGTAGAGATATAGTAGTGCGGGAGGAAGGATTTTTTTGAAAGAAATTATCAGTACAGTTAACCTCTTTTTTTCCCCTGGTATTTCTATACTCTGACTTCTTGAAATGATAGTCCAGGGAAACAGTTAGGAAAACTTTTATCTTCCGTATTGTCATATGGTATTTTTAATGGAAAACCAGACCTTGTATCTGTTTGCCTTGTTCTTACACTTTTCCCTAGCCTGTGGCTGCTTTTAGAGACACGAATATTGAGGGCATTCTTTTGGGATCTGGGACGTGTGGGTTCACTACCTACTAGGTTGGTTAGAGCCTAAAACCCAAGTTTCTCACTTTCTGGGTATATGCATTAGTCATTATTTTATGATATAGCAGTGATTGCTGTGGCTACTGGTCCATTAGTAGCCCATACTTAGGCAGCATCCCAAGTAGATGGAGGCATCTAATCTTAATGCTTCTGTATCTCTAAGGGTAGGAAGTAACTAGCTAACGTGAGGGGACGTGATTGCCTACTGTGAGCAAGTACTCTATCAGTATGCTCGAAGAATTGGATCTCCTTCTTTAGGTTTTTAGAGGTATTTGCCTCTCTATTAACTGCATGGGGAATGTAGGCGGTAGTGTTAGGATGACCTGGAGCATTCTGTCCACTCCAAGTATGCAAAATACTGGTGAGTTAGTACTTATCTAGTCCACCTAATTCAGGTGATTAAAATTTTATACTGATAACACAGAAGTCTATAAACAGTTCAACAGTCTTCTCAGGAAATGCTTAAACATCTTGAAAGGCAGAAGAGCACAGGGAAGGTTTAGTGCAGAGCATTTAATGAGAATCTTTGTCTCACATTCAGGAAATGGGAGGCCTGAAAGAGGTAGCCATGCATATAGATCTGTTTTCTTTTAACTGAGTCGTTCTAAATATAGAAAAATTTGCTTCTATTTTAAAAATATTGAAGTATGGGAACACTGGTCTGGTGTTTTACCATCTTTGTACTGAACCCACTGGTTGAACCACGTCTCCTGTACTGTAATTACAAGCTCCCGTCTCACTGGGCTACTACAGTGCAATTTGGGAGATGCAGTCCTGCTGGACAACCTGGCATTTGTGGGAGAGGGAGTGATAGGAAGAATAGCAGTTTCAATGTTCTGGTAACATTTAGGTTGAAAACTTGGAAGATCAGTTCTGATCAACTGGCAGAATCTTTAGTACAGAACTGAAAGCATTATTAAAAAACAGTAGTCAAAAAAAGCCATTTTTAGATCCAGCCAGTTCAGTGAGCAACAGAGCTATTACATTCTGTTTATTTACAGAGTTGGCTGATGTTCCATCTGATACAAAAAGCTCCGATAGCCTTACATACTCCCAAATGGCCTCTTCTCAAAAAATCTCAATTTCCCTCTTTAAATCACTCTGCAGGACCCACAGGATCTCCATCTTTCTCCCTTGTCTTGTCTACAGCACTGCTTTCCTCAGCTTAATGTCCCTAAGTCTTTCACACATGCTGTTGGGTAGCCCCCACTTATTACTGATTTTTCCCATATACTCTGCCTGCCTTTTTCCTGATGCTTTTGCTAGTCTGCAGGCTAAATGTTTTTTTAGGAAAACTAGATTTAGTAATTTGCTAACCAGCTAGTTTTCTTTGGACACTGTACTCTCCGTGGTTTAGTTTTACTGTTCTTACAATTGTTGTTTCAGAGACTTTATGTTAATACTGCGTATATTTTGTAAGTAATGTCTTCAGGAATGTGCTCTTTGAGTGGAACAAGAATTAATTTCATCCTTTGGTTAAAGGAATAGCTCATGCATCATTCTTTGAACTTTCTTCTTTCTATTCAGGTGTTTCATTTTATATATACTTACACATGAATAACACTGTTAAAAATATGTTGAGTATGTTGACTCTGTCTTTTGCTTTCTAGGCTCCTTCTAGGCTTTCATGTCTCACATTTCTTTGATTCTTATTGTAAATTCTTTCCTGTCACAAAAGTGTATTGTACTTTTTTTTCCCCCTCACCTTCTAATCAGGTGAATTGAAATGAGATGAGATACTGTGATACCTGAGAAAAAGAAAATAAATGGAAACTTACCAAATTTCAGTTTTACCTGAAGTTGTTAACTTCGTTATTTAATTCAAACATATTTTCATGTGCACCCGCTCTTGCTTCATTGTCTCCAGTATATGATAGAACAATCTTTAATTATAGGTCCTGTAATACTTTTTTCCTAGGGTGGATGGGTGTTCATCTATTACTACATATTCATTGTCTTGTTTTCTTTTTGTTATTCAGTATATGGTCCCTCGTTTACTACTCATTTTTCAGTATCAGACCAGAAAGCAAAATTTTTTTTTTTTCAAAAATTTTTCTGTAGTACTTGTTGGTAGAATATGAAGATTTCACAAACATTTATATAATTGTAATATATATGTGAATAAATACATAAATACACAAATATATATAATTTCAGCTTTTGAAGATAATAGCATTCCCATTGAACATGTGGGTGGATGAGTTACAGACAGACAAAGAAGTTCAAAAGGAGGGAATCAATTAATAATGGGTGCTTGGTTTGATATACATGAGGTTTTTTGGTTTTTTTTTTTTTTTTCAGTGTAAATTAGTATTTATATAGATTTTCGTTACCGTCAATGGAAACTATGGATGCCTGGCATTAAGTTTTTCCTGCCACTCTTCAGAAAATAAAGAACACCCGCTAAATAATCTCAACTCAATCACATCTCAAAATATGCTTATTTTTGGCTCAACTAACTGTAAAGCTCTGAGGGATAGAATCTGATCTTACTGCATTCGGTAGAGCCCCTTTACTCCTGCTTCTAATGGATGTTGAGAAGTGCACATGGAACACACTTTTCTATTCTGAGGGCATGGCAGAATGCCCCAAAATATAAGCAATAAAAGATCTATTTAAGGAAAAGATGTGCAGACTTTTAAGTATAGGCTAAACAGTGTCTTTTCCCAGCCTTATTTGTGGAACTTATTAAACAGCTTGGCTGAAGTTTTCAAAGGATGTAGTATGAGGCAGAAACAGAAAAATTAAAATTTCATTTTGAAAAGTTACAGTTTTTTAAAGGTGGAAATATTCAGATATAGGATCTCGTAATAGTAGACATCATGCACCATGAATAACCCTCAGAACCAGAGGCCTGGCATGTTATTTGAACAGATCTGTGGTGTAAGTACTAATGTCTTCTGGAAGTGTATCCATCATTTTATGCACATGAATTTAACAACAGAAACTAAAACAGTTGAACTAATGATTACAGAGTTTAATGCTTTGTTTACACTTGTGTATTATATTAAAACGTGCATTGTCTATGACAATTTTAATGAGCATTTTTTGTTCTTGCTTTTAGGAGCCACAAAAATTGTTCCTGTTGAGGCTGCTCCCCAGGAAAGTGAACCCGCAACTCCAGAGGCAACAGTTCAAGACCCATCACAACGAAGAGGATATCAAGAATATGCCATTCAGCAAACCCCATATGAACAGGCAATGAAATCTAGCAGGTAATTTTGAAGTATTTATATTTATATACATGGAAAATATGACTGAAATGCTTCCCTATCCATTTTCATGAAATTGAAATATTTTCTGAGCCTTTTAAATAAAGGCATAAGTTGTAGAATTTAAAAAGCCTGTCGAGAATACCTTTTAAAAATAAATTAAACATTTCTGTCCATAATGAATATCTAGGGAAATTCTGACATATTATGTCACTTAGTTTCAATATTCTAAATATAACTGGTTTGGTTTCTTTTTAGGTTGGGTCCAACTCAGCTGAAGATTTTTACATGTGAATACTGTAACAAGGTGTTCAAATTTAAACACTCCCTCCAAGCACATTTGAGGATTCATACAAATGAAAAACCTTACAAGTGTTCATACTGCAGTTATGCCAGTGCAATCAAAGCCAACCTTAATGTTCACATGCGGAAACATACAGGGGAGAAGTTTAGCTGCGATTATTGTACGTTCACTTGTCTCAGCAAAGGCCATCTCAAAGTCCATATTGAAAGAGTTCATAAGAAAATAAAGCAGCATTGTCGCTTCTGCAAAAAGAAATACTCAGATGTTAAAAATTTGATCAAGCACATCAAGGAAACACATGACCTTCAAGATAAAAAAGTGAAAGATGTTTTTGATGAGCTTCGTTTGATGACACGAGAGGGCAAAAGACAACTTCTTTATGACTGCCATATTTGTGAACGCAAATTTAAAAATGAACTCGATCGAGACCGTCACATGCTTGTGCATGGTGATGAAAGGCCTTTTGCTTGTGAGCTCTGTGGTCATGGAGCCACTAAATACCAAGCCCTTGAGCTTCATGTGCGAAAACACCCATTTGTTTATGTGTGTTCTGTGTGCCTGAAGAAATTTGTCAGTTCTGTAAGACTCCGTGCTCACATCAAAGATGTGCACGCAGATTTGCATGAGACTTCTGTTTTTAATAGTTCTATCAATCAGAGTTTCTGCCTCCTTGAGCCAGGAGGTGATATCCAGCCAGAAGCCCTTGGTGAACAGCTAGCACAAAGTGTAGATGAATTGACTATCGTGAGTACTGATGCTATTAACACACCACAACCATCTGCTTGTAAAGGTGAATCAACAGCTGCAGATGTAAACCATAACGGTCAACATAATGGTGACTTAAAAATTGATACAGTCCCTTTGTTAGAATTTGAAAATCCTCCAGTGGAGAATGTAGCAGAGACACTGTGTCAGACAACAGACATAGCAGTGCCAAATGTTCAATCCTGTGTAGCATCAGATTGCTTTCTGCTGAAAAACGGTACTTCTGGTTCTGATGAGTTAAAAGTTTCTCCTGCAAATGAAGAGGAAGTTAATCACTGCAGTTCTGTAAATGAGCAGGGTGAAGAAATTCAGCTTTTGCTGTCTGAAGACAAAAGTTTAAATCCGAGTCAGAACAATGCAATGACTGAGAACCTTTCAGTCTCTGAAGATAGAAATCAATCTGTTCCTTCTAGTGAATCAGAAACAAGCAATCCACCAATTCAAAATTCAGCAGAAACCACAAACCCTTCGCCAGCATCAGACGCTAATGCAGCCGTCAGTCCAAAGGCAGCCTCTTCTAATGCAGTTACATCAGACAGTGGGAGTGGAGCTGTTGCCTTTATGCAGATCTTGGATAGCTTGCAGAAGAGACAGATGAACACGGAGTTGTGTGAGAGGATAAGGAAAGTTTATGGAGACTTGGAATGTGAATACTGTGGTAAGGAGTAGTAGAATGATGGTTTTTTGTTGTTTTTTTTTTTTAATGTTATATAGTGGGCCATCTTTTTCGTGCTCCACTGGTTTAGTTTTTGATATATTTGTGTATCTTTGTAGCAGTATTAATTTTGTAGTTCAGTATGGATTCTGGGGTCCAGCGAGATTTACTTTGGGCTGTATAAATAGTGTGAAATGACTCAAATCTCAAAAAAAACATTAGCGGAATATAGCATAGCAATGCTTCGCTAGGCTCAATTTTCAGTTGATGTGAAATTTTGATAGAATTAGATTATTTCTGTCCACGTGCCTCTCCTCACTTCATAACTTTAACTAGGGCCAAACACAGCAGATTTAGGCATGTGATCAGCATTAGTCAGTCCATGCTTTAATGCTGAAGCTTCGTTATCAGCTTAGTATAAAATTCAGAGTCTTTTCCATATAGTATGGAAGGATGTATGATAATACACATTCTGTACAATAGTCACATACACTAGATACATATGCATTTTTTGTGACTTGTTTTGAACCAGTTTTTGGAGATGAAAATTTTCATTACATACTATCAGATCAAGACTGTTCTGATTATAATTGTTTTTTTGAGTTTATGAAGTGGGAAGAATACACTGTTCCGATTTATTCTAACTGAAAATTTTTGTGTTTGCATAGCTGGAAAGGAAACAATTTGGGATTTATTTTGTATCCTCCATTCTTGAGAAGGGAAAGGAATCAAAGTTTAAAAAAACCAGTTTTTGAAACACCATAACATTGTATGTTAGATGAATTGCCATTATGTCAGAAAACCTTTTAGGAAGGAATAACATGAAAGGAAGTAAAAAACATTTTAAAAATCTCTTTTAGTGTACAGTTACATTCAGATTCTTTGTATAGGAGAACAGATTTAAAGGACTTCCCCATTAGGAAAAAGATCATTGACATGTATTAAAGTTGCCCTTGTTAGTCTGTTTCAGGACATATGACACAATCTTTTTAGACAAAAGTGGTTTTGTATATATTTTCAGTAATGAAGGGTCTTTAGGACAAGTTTTCATTAAAGACGAAAGGAACAGGATTCAAACTGTGTTTTGCCCGAAAAGAAAACTGAGTATGTGTTGGAAGTTTCACTAACAATTGTTTAGAAATTACTTTCTTTGTGTCTAATTTTATTTACAGGCAAGCTGTTTTGGTACCAAGTGCATTATGACATGCACGTTCGTACACACACTCGAGAACATCTATATTACTGCTCCCAGTGCAATTATTCTTCCATCACCAAAAACTGCCTTAAGCGTCACGTCATTCAGAAACACAGTAATATTTTGCTGAAATGTCCCACAGAACATTGCGACTACTCTACTCCAGATAAATACAAGCTCCAGGCACATCTTAAAGTTCACACAGAGCTGGTAAGTAACAAACGAAACAGTATGTTTGTCTAAATTCAGTGTCATCATCATAATGTTTGGAATTGTGTGGCAATATTTGAAGACATAGGTAAGAGTTCTTACCTGAGCGCTCTCTGCATACTTCTGTACAGGGAATACATGAGTTACAGCAACTAGATATTTGGTCCCTCTCGTAGTAGTTTCCAGTAGAGTATATCCATTTTCTCCCTTTGGTTTTCCCAATATTCTCAGATTCTTAGGATCTTGAGAGAATAAAATGAGGTTGGTACTATTGTTGCTTTACTTCATTCCTTGGAGCTGAATTCTCTTCCTTCATAAATAGATGATTGTGGCAAAATGAAAATATGTTCCTCTCTTAATTACTATAGGCAGAAGAAGTTTGAGTTGTTGAAAAGAACGATTTTTTTTCCAAATAGCTCCAGCTACTTGCAGCCAATCTCTTTGAACATCTGTTATTTTCTGTTGTAGTTACAAAGATGAAGAGATCATGTTTTAAAGGCTCCTATCTTATTCAGTAAGCCTTCTAGCTCTGAATTCCATTTTGTTAAAAACAGGTCTGGTCTACTTCTTCAACGTGCCCTTCAACGTTACATATGTTCTTTGAGACTATGCAAGGGGCTGCATGCCTGACTGGAAGACCTCTTTGTGCAGGACACTGCTTTGTGATTGTGCTCTGATCCAACATTATCACATGAATAATCTTTTGAGGAAAATGTTTTAAACATCAACCCTGCTTGCATTTTTTTTCAAAAGTATGTTTTAAAAAATATATTACGGTATTCAGAGTAAGAAATACTTTAAAACTAAGGAATGAGATTTTATTCTTCATTGTTGATTAAGATGCTTTTTTAAAAGTGAAATTATGTACATGCTTTTCTTGGAAGATTAAGAAAAAACAATTATTTTCTTTACATCAATGTTGCCTTCTTTTCCTACCATGTGGCAGGATCCTTTCTGCGTGCAAGGTATAGTTGATCTGGGACATTCTAGACTTGTGTACCCAGAGAGGTTATAATGTGCATACACTCACACAGTGTATGAATACAGGTAAGTTCCTTCCCGTTCCAAACTGACCTCTAGAAAAGGATGTTTGGCAAGTGCCTGCTCTCCTGGAATAATGAATTCAGTCCACTTTTGACTGTAGTCTTTCCTGAAGGCCATCTGGAGTGCTTAGGTGGAACATATGATCTCATGCGATTTTGTGTGAGGATACTGGTATTGAATAAAGTACAATTAAGGATTTCATAAAATATTTGACAAGCATGCTGTTTGTAATTAAACTTTCTTGGCTGATAATGCCAGAAAATTGGCATGAACTACATCCTTGCAATTTGGGTTTTTAATAATTTATGCAGTAAAATACTTCCAAAAGGTGATTTACCCTTCTCCTGAATTTGTTTTTATTCTTATTCCAGCAGAAGAGAAAATACCAGTTGTTTAGTTGCAACACTCACTCTTCTGTCCTTTAAGAACAAGGAAATAATCACACAGATGGGCCTTTCTTCATTCTTTACACAAGATTATGGTTTTCGCTGGCATTGTATTGTAAATAAGTCTTACACACCCTTGACAAAATGCAGCACATATGACACATTCCTCCTTATCACATGAGAAAGCAATATCACAACTCACTTAGTCCTGTGATAAATATTGTTATTATGCTTCTTTTTGCTAGTGAAATGTGATGCTTGAATTAAGGATTTATGTTAATTTTTCCCCAGATGTGGACAGTTTCTGCATAGCTACTTAAAAAAGCTGTTAACATACAGTGCCTAGTGGTTTCAGGTCATCTTTTGCAGTCAGCAGGTGGGCTCTTGGCTGATACTTCCAACAGCTGAAGTTACCTTCAAGGTGTTTGTAACAGAACAGAACACTTCACCTCCTACTCTTGTTAGGTACTAGTCTTTTATAACTGCAGGACAGTTTTAAAAAACAAAACAAAACAGATGACACAAAAGGGAACATTTTTTCCCCCTTTTGTCTCCTGATTCTGTAGTATTTTAAACAGAATCCGAATTTTTTGTGAAATGTGCAGAAAGCTTACGTAATAGACATTCTTTTAGGCTGCTTTTCAATTTATTATATTTATGATGTCCAGCTGATGGCAAAAGTCTGTGTAAATGATATCTGAGACTACTTAAGAAAAAAGAGCCTAAAATTAGATATCCTATATCCTTATGTCAGTACCTGTTTTTCAAGTGTGATGGATGTCCGACAGCTCCCACCAGGGGGATCATTTTCATGATACTAAATAGAACCGAGAAAATGCATTTCATAATTAAAAACAGTGTGACAGCAAGATCTTTCAGAAGTATGCTTACTGATGCTTACTGTCATTTTTAAAGTGTTTAAATGGATTGAAAAAATCATGTGTTAGAATTTACTCAGTAACTAAATTTGGCAGTTCTCATATTGGCCTTTGTGCCCACTGCTTGGTGTATTTACTTAATGCATACCTTACTGAGCAGGACTACTCATTCCAAAATATAGTACTTTAACAAACTATGCACAGTTAAAAGTGGAAAGCTACTTTAATGTTAATTTTAGTTTGCAAAATCAATTCTTAATAAATATTAAAATTAAAGCTTTCCTGGAGACAGAAGATATCAAAATCTCAGTTCAGTTCCTTGTATGAATGCCACTCTTTCGTTACCTTGTTGCTGGCTGCTTTTCAACTGGATCCCTGTCTTACTTGGTGAACAGGATAAATGATGGCTATTAAAAAGCAGCTTACTGTTCATCCCTGTCACTCAATATATAGCCACTCTCTATGCACCATCCAAGTCTTGCACTGAATTTGGGATTGTTTATTCCCTGGGGGATGGGGACTGTTTATGTGCTGCCTGTTGCCTCGGTATCGGCTACACATTGTTGCTACAGGGAAGATTTTTACTTTTGAAGTCTGGGAATGGAGGCTCGGCTTGATTTAAAACCAAAATTTTGCATATATTCTTTGATTTTCAGTACCCGTCTTTTACCTCTAAGGCTTGTGTAGTAGTTTTTGACAATTCTTGGCATTTATGGAGCTCTTCAGAAGTTCAAACCATGACACATGTAAATCACTTCAATGTCATAGTACCTAGGAAAGGGATGGGCAGTTTATAATAACTTCAGAATAATTTACAGTTATGAATGAGCTAGTGGTAACGTTAGGGACCGGTTGTGGAACTAAACAATGCTGATGTAGGTACCAGAGTTTGTTTACAACCTCCAGTGGGTTTTACAATACTCAGTATGTTGAGCAGATAAACATCATGGAGAGATTTGACTCTGAAATTATTTTAAATCTATATAGGTAATTGATACTGCAAGATAAGCACGTCTATAAAACTGGAGTTCAGACCCAGAACCACCACTTGCTCTTAGGTGCCTACATCTGCTTTCATGTACATTTCGGGATGTAAATGAGTCTTCTCTTTGGAAGGATGCTTAGGAATTTCATTATGCTGCTGACCTTTTGTGTGATAGCGTAGTTAGAGCTTTGGGTAGGAAGTGAGATACTTGAGCTCTGATGCTTATTTCCCCTTCCTGAGGGGTGTTCATTTTCAGACCGTCACTGGTCTGGCTGTGATACCTTTGCCTCTGGAGCAGTGCCACTGTGCAGTCAAGAACGCAAGGTACTGGGAAGGGAAGGAATTAACCAGATATCCTGCTGGGAGTCTGTTAT